GCTAAGCGTGGAAGAAATGGGATTTGACGAGTACGTTGATCGAAATGATCAACCTGTAAGTATATTTTTTTCTTAAGGTTGATTGTAAGTACGATTTTTTTAAAACAATAATCGTTTTATAGTTCATTTTCAAAACAAAAAACATACCGTCACTATTTGAGTCATATCGATCCAAAGCGTTAGCTCATGCGCAAAATTCTGGTCTGATAATGACGAAAAATTATCACGAAATATTGTAGGTAGAACTTTTAAATGGAATGTCTTTTTAATGATTAACTTTGCTGATGGAGGTTGATTATTATTTTTTTTTTGAAAATTCAGGAGTCTATCCCATATTCTTTTATTACAAATGGATAATTATTCGGAGTCGCAAGTAAAAACGTTCTCTAGGGAAACGCTCGAAGATCTTAGAAAGGATATTAAATCAAAGTTAATCGGAAAAGAAAAAGTAACAAGGGACGTAAAATCAATCCTACAAGAGTACATTGAGGTTCGTATTTTTTTATTATCATCATTCTTTTGCAATGTTCCCTTTACTGACTATCTTGCTTAGATTGCTCTTGACGATAATGATGGTGGATTACACGAACTTCGCGAAACCATCACTGAATCTTTTTCGAAAAAATTTAATTCAACAGCAGAGAAAGAATTTCTTCGACGAATGAAGTTTCTCTTTGAACATCTGTAAGTTTTGATATCTCTTAGTTAAGCAACTTTTTGAAATGGCTGTTAACAAGATTTTTTCTTGCTACTTTGCAGGTCTTATACTATCCCATTACATCCATTGAAAGAAATTATAAGCGAAGGGACACTTGTGGCGAATATAATAAGTCCGGTGTTACGAATTTTTTTTCATGACTCATACATATATCCCACGATATGGCCGAACACATCCAGCACCAGCGCAAAGGTCCGAAAACTTGCCATCGGTGATCCTTCCCGGGCTAAACAACCCGATATGATCGGGAAAATTGTCAATAATGGTACTTATATAAAAAACAGTTAATCATAAAAAATACAAATAAATCTGTTCTAATTATTTCTTTAACATAAACAGGAAAATTTGTTTATGAATCGATGTTCGGTGAGGTGACGGGAGAAGGAAAAAATAACACGGAAAAAAAGAATCTAATCGACCTGGTTAGATTGGGGATATTTATGAAAGATTCCCTTGATAATATTTCGCGTAAGACCGGTGTCAATCGGATTTTCGGTTGGCAAGTTATTGGTAAGCTGGTCTTCCAGGAACGCTTGTTTTAACTAACTTATCCTACCTAATTAATGATTCTTCATGTAATAAATAGTGACAAAGTGGACCGGTTATATGATGACATTAATTAGTCCAGGGATTTACGTTATGGTTGACACTGGTAGTGTAGATCTTCCAAGATCTTTCGAAGTATGCAATACGTTTCTATCTGGTCTGGATACGCTGTTTGCATTTCAGGTATAACTTAGGAATATCAATATTACTTGTTAATTCTGTATAAATGACTAATTCAAAACTGTTCCTCTAGATAGCATATGAAAAAACAATAATGGATATCCTCTCAATTATGAATAAAAGTGAAGAAGTTGAGAGTAATGATAATTTTAAAGGATGGCGTCGATCAACACTTGGAACACCATCGTTCAAAAAAATTGTGAAGTTCAAATAACTATCAAATAAGATATTACTTGTTAATAGAACATATATTTACGTAATATTAATCAACTAATTATATTCTATATCAGCTGTTTCTTTCTTTTTCAATATTAATAAAGTTGTTTGCTCGCAATCCGGTTTTAATTTTCATGAATTGACCTTACTATATATATATAATACGCACATTATATTTATAAAATGCATATATACAAAAAGACAGAATCAAACCTTATTTGTCCAATTTCAGGGGTATATCCCAACCTAATCTAGTTGTGAGAGGATCATCAGTTGCTTTAGTAAAATCGAAGACCACAAAATTCCGATCTCGCAAATGTTTGTCAATAATCTTGGAAGCTTTTTTAGAGTTATCCGTATACTGACGTACGATTCTGGCTATATCATCCCGACTTCCCGCCCCTCGAAAAAGGGCTAAATGCGTGATATTCTCACGAATAATTTTAGGAGTTTGTGTATACTTCTGGCTCACGTATATACTTGATACACCTTGATGTCGGCCACTGATAAAATATGGAACAATCCGGTCCTGAATTTTCTTTGATTCAGCGCAAAGGTCCTCAAAGACTACAACAGTGTTTCTATCTGGTGAGAACTTAGTTATATCTGGAATTGCACCTGCTTTTAATGCACGAAATGTCACGTTCTCCCGATATGTTTTTGGGCCCTTCGAAAAAATTTCGTTACAGTTTTTCACTAATACCTATTTGGGCTCATGGATATGCTTTCCGATTAAGACTAGATCATCATTTTTGACATACCGCTCCCCTTTCTTTTCCTTGAACAAACGTTGAATTTTATTTCCAAGAAGAAGATTAAGAATCATATTGGTTTTTCCACTGTCTGATCCACCGCAAATTAACAAACGAAAGGGAAACGCAGGACTGGCAGGGTGATTCATATTCTTTGAATTTTTGGTCTCGTTAAGATGGTATATATGTTGTGCGTCAAGTGTCGATTTGCGTCAGATGCAGCTGACGTGCGTCAGATGTAAATTGATACTTGACAATAAAGTTTTCCTATAGTAAAAAATTTTTTTTACTAATAAAATTATTTTTTTATTCCGTAAGTAAATTTGTTTGTTACAATAAATTACACATATTGTGAAAATTTTATGGCTATTTAACCTATGTTTAATTAAATATTGTAAATTTACTTGAAAAAACTTGTAATTTATTAATATTTTGAATGAAGTGTTTTCCATGAAACTGAGTCTAATCAATTTAATATTACAGGTTTACATATTTTTTAACAAGATTAATAAACTTATTTAATAAAGAAATTTAGTTTAAGTTTGAAAATTTTAATTTAATTATAACTTAATTTTGCATATTTTATATCACAAGTGACGCGCGTCAGGTATCAATCTACGTTTGACAGCATAAGTAAAAATCGGTGTTATTGGCTAATTTATTTGTCACGTGATTCAATTTACGTGATCAGCAAATATATGTAACGCGTTATTTTAAAAAAAGGAAAAAAGGCTTAGATATATATCACATAATAACACATATTCAAATTTTTTATGGAAGTTCAGCAGTCTTTTCTCAACCAAGATCCGGTTTCAGTTTGAATAGATCTGACTTTAGGTTAGATTTCTCTTAATAGTGATGACAAGAGGTTTTTATAAGTGAAATAATGGACCTTGTGCCGTTTGTGGACTGCAAAATGCAAATGAAAAGTTCCAAAAATTAACCTCAGAGGCACTTACAAAAGTGCAAAACAGTACTGCAGTTCCTTCGTTAACAGTTCAATTGCAAGTGAATGATCAACTTTGTATAAAACATTATAATGAACTTGTTTCTTATAAGCGTAACATATCAAAATCCAAGAGAAAATGTGCTGATAAAGATTTATCTTACAAAGGAGTAAAAAACGTTTGCTTAAGAGAAGATGTGTATTATGATTTATTGAATAATACAAGCAGTCTAGAAGTATTACATCAACGTGTTAAAGACTTAGAATTGGAATTGAAAGAATATGTAATTAAGGCACAAGAAACTTTTAGTAATGGTAATGTTAAAATGCATTAGTGTATTAGCATTATTATTAATTAAATTAAATACGAATAGAAACTACAAGATTTTCACAATTCTTTGGTGATCAAGTGGCTCGTATGACAAGTATACTATACCAATATCAAAAAGAAGGGAATTTACCTATTTTTGATCCAATAAAATTTGTGGAATTAATCGAAAGTTGTGATATCAAGATGCGGGAGTTTTTTGATATTTTATTTCAATCCATGAATCCTACACAGAAAAATCAGGCAACACAACGGATGCTTAAGCAAAAAGTAATGATGTTATACTATCAAATGGCAGCATTGCGTAATAAGCAAGTTAGTGGAACAAAAACAGCTGTAGGACTTCTTATGGTGGGATCAAGAACTTCAAAAAATGGCATTAACACTTTAGCCAATATGGGGATGAGTTCAACATATTGTCATGGGATATTTTTTTTTTCTATTTTTTTTTATTTTTATTGTTTTTATTTTTATTTATTTCTATTTTTATTTTTTTTGTTATTTTTAGTTATTTTTAGATAAATTACTTGTAGTTGTTTTTGGTTGTTCATAGATTAGATAAAAAGCGGAAGCTTAGCGATATAAAGTAGCTGAATACAAGTGGCTGTATAGACAAATGTGCCCAGATCACCACAATTGGCTGGGAAACGATATTGGTCAGGAGATGATTATGTCCGAAGGACAGAATCATCCTAAAAATTTAATGTTATATAAAGGACCAGTGTTGATAGATAGTATAGTTCAGTTTAGATTCGTCTAGTTTTATTGTTATATATAAGATAGATATTGGGATATTACAGAGCGCCAGTTGAGGGAGTAATATCATATTCTTTTTATTAATGAATAAACTTGTCGATTTGCTTCTGAATTATTGATACATGTTTTATCACATTTTATCACATTATTTATTATTGATTATTATTGACTTATTATCATTTATTAACACTTGTTAACTACATCACTAATTTACTACATATATTTACGATTAGTTATTATTGTAAACATACTATCCGATTTACCCCTAATCCATTATATCATTCATTATCGACTATTCATATATACACTTTTACCTTATCGATTAATATACATCGTTATATTACCTTACCACTAATAAACTGATTCTTTTTTTCTATCTGTTACTACCTACCAAACGTCATAAATTGGTGGTAACAATTTGGTGCTCCTTATAAGGATCAGCCCTTACTACTTTGTATAATCGATTACAAATTATTATTTGCACAAATTCAGATATATACCTGGTGGCATCGCACCTTTGACCATGTTGAACAAGTCACTTTTTATCACCATGATCCTATCTGTGCCCATTGTAATCCGCTTAATCAAAACACGATACAGTTTAACCATTTTTGGAACTGATATTCTATCGAGAATCTGGCACTTGGATATACTAGCTGTACACAACAAGTGTTAATAAACCTCAATAATTCCATAACAGTTGCTGAAACTTGGGAAGCTATCTATTCAATAGTTTTCAGTATCCAATATTCTATCAAGCCTCAACCTTATACCTAGCTTCGACAAGAGTTATATAACACCTATATTCTTACCGATTCATTTCAATGAGACCCTCTTGAGGAGCTATACCATATTAGTGAAACAGCCTTAACAACTGATACTGACAGCTCCACCAATAGTTTTGATACACCAAACGATTTTAGGCCACTGTTTAACGGTGGTATAGTATTGGGACTGATGACTCCAGGACTATTATTTACCGACGAATATCTACATATTGAAAATCTTTTTAAAGAAAGACCAGTAAAATTATATTTAACGACGAAGATTTAAATCTTAATCAACTATTTTCCAAACCAGAACCTGTTGAACTATTATTTGCCGACGAAGATTTACATCTCAATCAATTATTTGAAAAACCAGAAGTACCCAGAATGGCAGCTCTTGGCGGAAGATTTAATCCTAATATTTTGTTGAACGCCCTAAATAACTTAACGAATGCCCTGGGAGTTGGAAAGAATAATTGGGTGAATGTTAACAACGCCGTAAATACGCTAAACGCTATCCTAGTGGCTAATAATAATGCGTTGCAAACCTGTGAAACTCAGGCAGCACAAATACTGAGTGACCTTTTATGGAGAAAATCAAGATCCAATCGCCTGGTTAAACGAGTTTAACTTATCCTGTGCGACTAATGGATGGAATAACGCTCAAAACTTCAAATAGTCCCGGTTAAAAGGAGTGGCTGTTGTGTGGTATCAAATGGTAGCCAGAAACCCCATTAATGTCTGGGATGGTGCTGCTAATAATAACACATTCGAATATGTCTTTAAACAATGTTTTAGAACGCTTGCTTTAGTTGAATTATGGTCGACCAAGTTAGACCAGCAATAGCAACGACTTGATGAATCGGTTGATCAGTACACGTCATCAATCCAGGAGTTATATCAATGAATTAATGACAGAGCATTTACTTACCCTAACATGTCGCTGTTAAACCTTTTGGTGATCAAACCTTACCATCGGAAAATTTTTTAAGATGCAGAACTGCAGAGATCTGTAAAATTAGCAGATCTCTGCATTTTTTTTGTGAATTTATGCAGAAGTCTGCGATTTTGCATATTTCTACTTTTTATTTTTTACAAAATTATGCAATAATCTGCAATTTTGCAAGTTTCCAATTTTTTATGTATCATTTTTACGGTAATCTGCGATTTTGCAGATTTCCGCTTTTATTTTTTACAAAATTATGCAATAATCTGCAATTTTGCAAGTTTCCAATTTTTTATGTATGAATTTCTGCGGTAATCTGCAATTTTGCAGATTTCTGCTTTTTTTTATGTGAAATTTATGTGGAAGTCTGCAATTTTGCAGATTTTTGCTTTTTTTTCATTAAAATATCAGTTCGATCTGCAATTTCATCATTGATTTAATATTTAAACTTTAATTAACTCTAACTTGATTTAATACTTAAATGATTTTTTCTACAATACTCTTAAAAAAAAAAACTTTACAAGACTTTAAAAAAATAATTTTTTCTACAACACTTATTACTAAAGAAAAAAACTTTGTGAAATAATTTTTCTACAACACCTTTTCATCGGAAAATTTTTTGGGGTGCAGATCTGCACAGATCTGCAGGTGACATTTTTGCACAGATCTGCAACCCTGTTGGCAGTCTTTGGAAAAAAAAATTCATCAAAAACTGCGCAGAATTTCAAGAAACAAAATTCTGCGAAAATTTTTAAAAAATAAATAATGAAATTCTGCGAAGATTATAAAAAAACAAATAACGAAATTCTGCGAAGATTTTTAAAAAATAAATATTCGAAATAATTCAAATATATTTAATTTCACTGATCATCACAATTATTACAAACAATTTTATATATAGTAATTTATTTAATATGTAATTTATTTAATAAAATATATTCAAAAAAAAATTGAAGAATTTCAAATACAAATTTCTGAATTCTGAAAATTAATGTAATACGAAGAAATTTGACAAATGTTAAGAGAATTTCGAATCTAAACTCTTGAGCTGTAAATTTTTTTGATTTAGATTAGTAAAATAAATTAACGCGGTGTAAAAATCATTATATACCAGATAATAACTTTGACTTACTAATTCTTCGTAACTACTACTATTACCATCATCAGCATCGCTCGATTCTTCAATTATAGACGAAATTTCTGGACTTTGTTCTGAATCTTCTTTCGCCGCTAACTCCTGCAACAAATGCGGAGTTACAGTAACTTTATTTTTGATCGATTGCTGATAATTGATTATACATTAATATTTGCGAAATATTTTAAAATTTTTAACTTCAAATTACTGATTAACGTTATTATTACCATAATAAAATCAACTCTTTTTAAAACTAACTTGTCGTTGCATTTAATCCCAGGGCTACTGGGATTTAAGACAATATCGCAGATGGCGAGTACATAAACCCAGTGTTCTAGAGGAAGCTCACTGCCTTCGTATGATTTGATAATAGAAGAGGTTATTTTCGTGAGAATACCTTGATTTTCAAAAAGTTCTCGATATGCTTCTCGCGTTTTTGCATTTTTTTTCCATTCAGCAATCTTTTTAGAGGACGCACTGCTATCCACACGTTTTAACTTCTGCTCACCGAAGTTAGAAAACATAGTATTTCAAATATTTGCCGCTAAATCATTTCGCTTACTTCGGCATTTGTTTTTTATCTTAATAATCAAATAATTTCGGATTATTATTATTATTATTATTATTGATTATTATTAATGATTTCACGTACTTCTGGTAATAACTTTGATTCGAATAGGGAAACCCACGTATTTCTTCCAAGATTTTCAATATAATGACTGGCATGTTCAGCGAGGTATTTCTCTAAAGCTTCACGGTACTCTGTATCTGAAGGAAATAGGATCTTTAGAATAAGTTCTTTGGACACCTTTTTATATGCGCGCTGTAAAGATAATCAGTTATTTTTAAATATCTTGAGATCAAATAAAGTTGCTAAATCTATTAAAGTAACTTACATTCCAAAATTCATCCGAAAGCTCGTTGACCACCACAAGTCTCTGTATCGTTTGAGAATCTAATCGTTGTTGCTCACTAATACGTCGGCACAATCGATATATTGAAGTGATTTTTTCGTCTAATAATTTCATAGTATAGTTGAATTTCTCGATTGTAAGGTAACGTTCGTCACGTTCTTCGAAGTTACAATTAAGGTTGCTTGTCTAAACCTCTTCAAAATCCTACGATTAGTTTCATCAAAATTTTACTATAGATTTATTATAGTTTCGGCAGAGTTTCGGCAGTTTCGGCATTTATAATAAGTTTCGGCAGTTTCGCCTTTCTCCAAAGTTTTGCCAGTTTTTTAATATAACTTTAATATAGTTTCGGCAGAATTTCGCTTTTCGGCGAAACGCCATCTTGCCTAAACCCCTAGGTTTTGGCAAGCAACCTTAGTTACAATATTCGTCATCAATTTGCATAGGTGTGATAGGTGTAGAAGCTCTGATAGGTTTGGGTGCTCTGATAGGTGTTGAAGTTCTTCTGTTTGAATCATCATCGGGTTTAGTTGGAGAATTTTCAAGATTTCTTGTTGAATTATTACCAACAATAATGGGCGTTAATGATCTACCCCGATTTTTTTTTGGCTTGCCACTTTTGATACTTTTTGTAGGATTATTGGATGTTGAAGACTTGAGAATTTCATCTGGAACAACCAACACGAACAGGACCCCGAAGAATACATATAATACTGGGATCCAATTTTGTATAAACTTACTATGTAATTTCTTAATAAGTCATATGTTTGAAATTGTATAACCAAATAGCAGTTATGCAAAAAGTCAGATTTTTATTTGTATAACAATAATGATTTTTACAATAAGTAAGATTTTCATTTTGTATAACGGATATTAGAATTTTTTTT